ACACACACACATTTCCACAGCTTTCCATGGGATGTTTTTAAATCTAGGGAGAATAACCAGTGATAAATAGGTGGGGGTGGAGGGGACTCTTCATGACTCCTCCAGCAGTGAAGCAGCACACACACCGACACTCACAATGACAACGACAACAAATTCTAAACACTGACAGATTATTTGTTTTTCCCTTCAGTCAAGTTTTGAAATATCATGCATTGTAGAGGAAGCTGATGTGACTTCTGCTATAAACAACTCAATGGGATGGAAACTATGCTGAAAGAACATCGGCACAGGCCTCCACTCCTTTTCCACTTTGCAAAGAGACAGGAAGTAAACAATGGTTGCTCTGTGCTCAGAGAACTGCCCAATGGCGTAGCGGAATGAGCATGGGGTGTTAACCTGGTTGAATAATGGTGGAATGGTCTCTAGGGTTTAATCACTGAGATACCAGAAGTTTGGGGTAAAACTATCTGCTGAGAATATAACTAAATAGATTTGCTTTATATGATGTTATCACATGAGTAGAAATTGTGCAATGCCAAGAGGAAACTCATGAGGAAACATTTTTCTTTTTGCATTCACACTTACTTAATGGCCTCCAAATATCCTTTAGCTGCTGCTACATGTAACGGAGTAGCACCAGTCCGGGGGTGGCAAAGATTAGCAGGCAGCCCGTTTGTGAGCCAGTGGCGGGCATCACGCATGATCCACTCCTCTTCTGCCCGCTTAGCTGCTTCCACATCTGATGAGAGATGGACTAATTATAAGGTCCCATACACTTTTGCAGAGAAGAATTATTAACAATTTATCTAACTAGCTGACTGGACAAGTTGATTTAATGTAAATGTACTGATCTGTGTATTTCTAGAAAAAATACTTAAATGATAGTGTTTATTTTGGAAATATTTTGTGAATGAATATAAATGAAAATTAAGGTCTGTGAGAAGGTAAATATGTATTATGTACTGTAAACAGTTATACAATACAGTTGTGTAAAAATCTTTTGTTAACTTTGTGTGACTTAAAAAAAAGGTCAAACTGTTTCAAGTCCACACACTAAATGGATATTATGCCCAAAAATGAAAATTCTGTCATTGATTACTTACCCTCATGTTGTTCTAAATCTGTATCCTGTATTAAGATTTTTTGAATAATGTTGGTAACCAGAAAGTTTTGGTTATAATTGACTTCCAATGCATGTACAAAAAGTCATACCATTTTGAAAGGGCATCATGACAGAGTTTTCATTTTTGGGTGAACTATCCCTTAATGTTATTGATGCAATAACATTTAAGTCTTCATCAGGTGATTTTTTTGACTCTGGGAGGTCAAAAACTTGCAAGTTGTTTAATAACATCAGTATGTGGACATTTGTGCTTTTATTTTATGTTTACTACATTCTGTCCTGCACCTGTACTCAAACTAACTTGGGCTGGGTGATTTTTCTGAGTAAATATAGCAGGCTTTAATTTGTGATACCTCTAAATTTAATTGAGTAAATTAAATGTATTTATGATGTGACATTTCAGACGTTCTGTTTACTAACCCGGTGTCAATGTGTGTTCTTGCAGCAGTGTCTCTGTGGCCTCATCCTCTGCAATATCCATTGGCACATCACCATCACAGTTCACCGAGCAGAGAGATGCACCATGCCTGAGCAGAAATCTAAAAGTGACAGCACCAGTAAATAAGCACAGTATAATACATGCTAACTGGGATCATATCTTTCACAGCAGGGTAAGTATTTCTAGCACTTGTTGAGGCAGAAATATTTGTAAAAATTTTAAACCCCTCAAATCACACAACTCTGTCCACAAACAAAACACACATTTCAAAATTGTCACAATGTAAGCAACTTATCCTTTTTTTTTTTCTGCTGGCAATCCAACTCTCAAGAGTCATTTCAACCCTTAAAATGCTTAATTGCTGAAGTACTCTTAAAGGGGTCATATGATGCGATTTCATTTTTTCCTTTCTCTTTAGAGTGTTACAAGCTCTTGGTGCATAAAGAAGATCTGTAAAGTTGCAAAGACTAAAGTCTCAAATCCAAAGAGATATTCTTTATAAAAGTTAAGAGTTAGCCACACCTACCTAAAACGGCTCGTTCGAACACGCCCCCACATACCTACCTCACTATGTGGGAAGATTTGCATAAAGCCGCCCAAATGTTCACGCAGGAAAATAATGTGTTTTTTTAACTTTAAACCGCATAAACACATTTCATTACACCAAATACACAAAATAATGTTCTTTTTAGCAGCATCATATGACCCCTTTAAATAGTAGTATAATAGAAAAAAGCAGTGCCAAGGTGTAGTAACTGCTGACATCTGTTCAACATATCACTGCACACCAAAGAATATTATTTTCACTGCACAGTATTGTTCTGGCATGTCAGTAATTATATATAGAAGAAGGATAACACTTAAGAAACTTGCTTGGTAAAATGTTTCAATCAAAATGTGTGTTTTTAATATATAGAGGACTGGGAAAAATAATGAGATAATTTTTGCGTTTAGGATGAACTGGTTTAAAGCATGACAATTTTTTAGTGCATTTAATGCATCATCTGCAGCAACTTCCTGTGGATGGAGGTATTTGCTCATGCTATTTGCATGCAGTTATCCCCCGGACCCACAGAACAAACCATTCCAGAGAGAGCAGATGACTGAGGATGATTTACACAGGCTCTATTACTGGCCGCACTCACCCCCGCAACCTCCTCGTGGAGGAAAAACCACGTGTAGGACACCCACTCATTGCAGTTTCTGTCTGGCTACCTGGTTGATCCTGCCAGTAATACTGTATGTGTTTGTCTCAGAGATAAAGCCACATAGATATTGTAAAACTGGCTGAATAAATTGTATTGAAAGGATTTTGCTAAAGTAAAATTAATTTGGGGAATGAATGTGCAAATTTATTTACAACAACAAATTTTAATATTAGGTGCAGTTTTTCACGAATCACAGAATACTGTGCAATTAAATAGTTACATTTAGCCGATTCATAGCCATAGTAATAACAGACTAATACAACTAACAATGGCCTTGAAGCTGTGCTATATTGTGAATTAATCTCAGAACAGAACAATCACATTTGAAACAGCCAGCAACTTCAAAGCCAGCTAAACAATAAACATATTAGACAATTTTGACACATACTCATTCATTTAAATATATATTAATTAAATTCAGTCATAACATACTCTGTTATCTCCAGGTTTCCACATGATGCAGCCACATGAAGAGGAGTCCAACCCTCACTGTCCACCTGGTTAACATTGGCACCCCAAGACAGAAGAAATTCCACCATTTCCATACTGCCATCGATACAGGCCTGGGAAAGAACACCACATAAAGTCCATCAGATTTTTACAGAAATGCACCACAATTAAAATACTAAAATTACAGCCATGTTATGGCTGATTACCAATAAATGGTAATTTGTGCAAAAAATTTTAAATTCAAACACCAAAAACTACATTTTAAATTTTACAAGTAAATTTAATAATATGGGTCAATGACAAATAAAACAAATAACATAACATTTTAAAACCAAGTTTAAACACATATGCCAAGTTCTCAGAAAAGTGCTCTTTGAAAAACTTTAATACCATTTTCAACAAAAGCAAAAAAAATTAAATACTCTCAAGAAAAATGTAATAACTTATTTTCCATACATTCTGAATACATGTATATTTACACATCATAATCATTATTTTGCTTTGAAATATTTAATATTTTTGCATTAATATATGAATAATAAAAAATATAAATTCATTTTTGGGGGTTACACTTTATTTATTACAAGGCATGAACTAACCTTGCCTTGTGATTAAGACTCATAAAGACTTGAGGCCTGTTCACACCAAGAACGATAACTATAAAGATAACTATATTAACGTCCACACCAGCAGACGATATCATCTGTTTATTCTAAGCACACGCTCGTCTGCCCCTTTAAATTCGAGCTCGTTATAACAGGATGGATTCTGATTGGGTGTCAATTAGGGCTGCACGATAAATCGCATGCGATATTTAATGCGCATCTTGTCAGAAAGCCGGTTCTGTAATCAGCGGTAAATCTCCATCACGTGCGTGCTTTCACATTGAGCAGCTTTGGATGCACATTCAAATCACATTCCTACTCAAATAGTGTGTAATTCGGTTTCTACAGTTTCAATTGCAACCTTTATCTTTAGCAAACATCAGCTCTAGGAACAATATTTTCAATTTATATTGGTTCTTTAATCCATTAAGAATGAAAACTAATCAGTAAATACATTCTAGCGGGATAGTAATCCAATGCAGGGCAGATGGCCCTTGACACCCAAAATAGCAAACTAAATCTGGAGATCTTCATTAAAGAGTTAAGCTGTGAAACACAGAAACTGCTTTATTCGGACATGCTTGTTTACATCAAGGAACTATATTACTAATTAATGCTGAAACGTTCTCTTTGTGTTTGTTGTCATTATCGTGGTCATGAATCTCCAAACCTGTTTTTTTTCTGCTGCTCATTGGTGTCTGTTCTGCCTCCATCAGAAGCTCCGGTGCTCGTCTTTCCTCTCCAGCGACTCCGAGGCACCACCGGCTCTCTGTCCGTACTGGAGCCCGACCAACGCGTCAGCTGCTCCCGACGCTTCGCTACCGCCGCGTCCCCCATGATCCAGCACTAAAGACACATATTTTTAAGAGAAATCCCCATGATAACAGCAACTGGAACATATATCAGAGACACGCCCTCCATGCGTGCTGTTTACACTTCCTCATCACACTCACAGGAAGTTACTAAAAACATCCAACCAGTCATTAACGTTAATTTCTGTCCGCCTAAAAAAATACCTGCCGATCGGAGATTTCGATGACCAGTACAGTTCAAGAACCAGACAAAGATTTTATGTAATTGCCATGACGTTAAAGGATTCAGGTCAGAGATCAAAACACCAGTTCCACCTCCAGGCTGCAGAGGGCACAGTAGAGCTCCTTACCAGCTTCCGGGGGTTGTATCCACCATAGACATATAAATACCTAGACGCCTCATTGGCCGCTCGACCGCACGTCAACGTCGCCGCCATATTGGTGCGGGCAACTCTCATATCGGGACAGGCGAAAACATACCTGACTCGTCGGCAGCTTGGGCATCTACAAACCGTCGCACAATAATAAAAGCAGATCTCGGGGTATTATCGTTCACAGGTAAGACTGAACAGTTGTTTCTGTATGTGTTTTGGTCATTTTTAGCTTTATGTTGACAGCTTAATTAGCCACCAGTGTCAGACTATTAATAGCTAGCGATATCGCTAGTAAGCGGTGAAAGCTGAGACTTTATATGAAATCAAAGTTTAAATGAATTCTTAAGTTTTAACTTTATATTGTAGTTTATATCATAAAGTAAATGGTGTTATGAGCACAATATGTACAGTGAGCACTTTGACAAGACAATGCCAGACTGTCAGGATTAGGGATGGAGCTAAATCATCTCTCTTTAATTTCACTAACGTTACTTATTTACAAAGAGTAAGTTTATCATCACTTGATTATAAGGATTTCATAGCTTATCATAAATCTGTGGACTTATTATATATATATTTTTCCTTTTTAGCCAATTGCAAACAGGACAACGCAAGCCGAAGAAACCCTGTTCTCTGCATTTCCAAGAGAGTAGGCTATACTTCCACAGCCTAATGTTGTATTAGTACTAGTTACAACCCAGAACAGCCCTGAATGAATGGCCAGAATTACCCTGCTCATATTCTAACCACCCCCTTACTTGTTTCTTACTTTGTTTAATAATTATTACACAATACTATTATAAAACTACATGTCATGATTATTTATTTTACTTTAGAATTTACTATTAATTTATTCTTCATTATTGTCTATTCTGTATTATTCCACCCTTGATATTACATATTCTACTTGCTATTATTCATCTATTTATTATGGTATTATACATATAATTTATGCTATTATAAATCTATTATATACTGTTGTACTCACTTTTTATATTATTCACTTTACTACAACTTGTACTACATATACTTTTTAATATTACACATCACTTTTACTGTGCACTGTATCAGTGCATAATATTTTACCACTGTAACTGTAAGTTTTACTGGATCCATAAAGGATTATC